TTTCCCTATAGGTATCCAGCTGGCATCAAACTTATTAAGCTATCTTCACCAGCTTAAGATCAATTAACCCAAAACTAGCTTTTGTTGAGCTTATTGTCTTATCTTTTTCATATCATTTTAATCTGCTGACATTTTCAAAGGAAAAAAATTAGACTTCTGCTGTTTATTCTTCTGAGCACGGCTCTTACTGATTGTTTTAAGCATGCTGTTAATTGAATGCTATTTAATTGCTGCTATTGCCTCTGTGTTATGTTTTATTGCTGCTGTTACATCTAAAAATTAACAGCATGCTTAAAACAATCAGTAAGAGCAGTGCTCAGAAGAATAAAGAGGAGCAGTCTAAATTTTTTCTTTGAAAATGTCAGCAGATTAAAATTATATTAAAATATTTTAATTGTTTAATTTTAATTGTTTTGATATTAATTTTAAAATTATAAATGTTTTCTATTGTTATATCGTTTGTATGGTTGTATACTGTTTTAAATACTTTTATAAGCTTGTAGACTGCAAGTATAGGCTAGAATTAGATTTAAAGATCATCATGAGACAACAGTTTACATGCTTGTATTTAACTTTTATTCCTTGATAATTTTGTTGGAGTAATGCCAGAGGTCAGCTTCTGTTCTGATCATTAATGATCAACTACATGTGACATGGGAAATAAATAGAGGTCACTTCAGCTGGACCCTACCTGGTTACAGAGAAACTAATTTACCTGACTAGGGTGTGTTTTTAGGGGAAAAGAAAAAAGGCAATTGCTTCTTTTTACAGTTTCCCCCCCCTAACACTGGTGGAATCAATAATTATTTATTTGTGCAGTACATTCTTTTTAAAAAATGTATATCTTTTTGCTGAATGAATTTTCCCATTTTTAATCTATCCATTTTGGAGTTGAGTCCTTTATCTCTAGTTAATACAACTGTGGGGAAATACCTGTAATGTAGAGATCAAATTCCAGATCTCATCAGTCCGACCATTAACACTTCGTGCCACCACAGCATGAGCAGGAACACTAGCCAGGTGACAATTGGCATACTGCTCCAGTGGCCTTGTAGAGCCATCATCACAAAGCAGCTCATATTTTTTCCTTTCTTCTTCAGGGAGGCCTGCAGGAAAGAAGGTCTAAGTGAGATGGAGATCCAGACACTAAGATTGGCTCCACTGGGAGCCGTTCACACAACCATGCATTAGAGCAAGATAAAAACTATGTCACATATTACTGGCCTTCAAGGCTGTGATGACAATCCATCCCTGATGACAAATATTATGGTCTCCTTCAATTGAGCAATGGGATGGATACAGTACTGCACTAAATTACCACAGTGTCTGTTAGGCCTTTTTAAAGGAAGACATCCAGGGGGGAGAAAGAGAGGGTTATCATTCTCGTTTAACTTTTTGAAAAATTGTGGCACACAAATACTAAAAACATGCTTCCCCCAAGAGTGTACAGGAGGAATGCGGTTGGGAAAGGAAATAAATCCATACTTTTGCTACCCTGAAGAACTTGTCTTGGGGAAAAAATATGTCACAAAATAATGTAATTACCTCATATAATTTTGTTTTCAACTGCCATGTGTATGTTATGTGCTGTCAAATCACTTCCAAATTACAGTGAACCTATGAATTAATGATCTCCAAAATATCGTATCCTCAGTAGTCTTGCTGAGTCCATATCACTGAAGGTTATGGCTCCTTGATTGAGTCAATCCATCTCATGTTGGGTCTTCCACTTTTCCTATTGCCTTCAGTTTTTCCTGGCAAACACCTTACCTTTCACACTTAAAATAGGGTGGCTTGCATGAGTGGTGTCTGTCACGTAGTAGATTAGAATACTGTTTTCGCTTTATGCATAGATGAGAATAAAGGTAAAGTATGCCATTGGTCACAACTGATTTATGGCAACACTACCATAGGATTTTCAAGGCAAGAGATGAGCAGAGGTGGTTTGTCATTGCCTTCTCTGAGTAGCAACCCCAGTCTTCCTTGGCTGCCTTCCATCCATGTACTAATCATGGCCAACCTGCTTAACTTCTGAGCTCTGAAGAGATTGGCTAGCCTGAGCTATTTAGATTGCTAGAGAGGATTCTATAGGGATGTAGACTGGTATTATATAGCCGATCTCGTCAGATCTGAGAAGCTAAGCAGAGTTGGTACTTGGACGGGAGACCACCAAGGAAGACTTTGCAGAGGAAAGCAATGCACCTCTGTTTCTCACTTGCCTTGAAAGCTGCAACTTGATGGCACTTTACACACACACACACACACATACTGGATTCTGTTTTTTTCTGAGGATAAAATAGAGGAGAGGGAAATGGTATAAGCTGCTTTGGGGCCCCACTGTGGAGAAAAGTGGAGTATAAATGAAGTAAATAAATATAGCTAAATATGGGGGACCAGGTAAAAGTAAAGTTAATGGGTGGGTGGGAAGGAAATGAGGAAGCTGAGAATGCTGATATGGTGGCTGCCTGATGGAGGGAAGAGAAAATAGTTTGGGGAAAGTGAGATGGGAGAATGGGGTGCCCATCACACATCCTTGCAGGTTCCCCACTATGCAAGTAGGCCTGCCCCGGCAACTGGCACTATGCAACAGCTACAAATCATAGAGCTTTGCCCAAAAAGTAAAGTGTTGCCCCTGGCATCGGCAACACGATGACGTCACTTCCAGAAGTGACATCAGCACATTGTCAACATTGGTCGGGGATGTCTTGGGGGGGGGTTTCCCCCACCCAGCAGCAGGCCAGAGCCTGTAAAATCAGGGGATTCCCCCATCCCCACCTGGGGACTGGAAAGCCTAAAAGGGGGAGAAGCTATGGAGCCTTTCAAGGAAGGGAAAGAAGTAGTAATGGGAGGGGGGGGACGAAATGAGATACACCCTGCAATTCCTTGCAGGTTCCTGCTTGTATATTCTAATAGCAAAATGTTGCCTCATCTGCAGATACTTAAATCGGGGCTACACTAACAGATTTTTCAACACACTTCAGGGACTCCCCAGGAGTGCAGAAAAATCTGAAAACTGAAAACATGTGGGAGGGTTAAACCCCCCCCCAAAATACAAGGGAATTGTTTACCCAAGCTCAGACAAAGCTCCTACACCTCCACTGTAGCTGGACCATTGAGACAGGAAACAGGCAGGCAGGCAGGCAGGCTGGTAGAAGCTGCCACCGTGGCAAAGCCAAAATCAGGTGAGCGGGGAGGGGGGGGAGTTCACACTGCTGACACCTTTGAGACTGTGGTGAAGTGCAATGAGGGGAATTTCCCCCCCCCCATGATTCTCAAAGTGTACATATATAAAATATGTACATATGTACATATCTAAAATGTACATATATAAAAGCCAGTTCTAGAATTCTAAAATTCTTTAGCACTATGTGCAAACAGAATCCAGAATGGATATATGCAAAAGGCAACAGGATTGAGCCCCAGTGGCTCAGTGGCTTCAGTCCTGGCTATGGAAGCAGAAGGAGAAGTTTTATCACCAATTATGTCCCCCAAGCACACACTTTTGTTTCTCCCCAAATGGCTGCTTTTCAAGTCTATGAGGGAAAGTAAAGCAACTACAAATGGGCTCTTTGTTTCAATGGGGGCTATGGCCTTAGTATAGAGAGGGTGGTGTGTCTACCTCTGCGTAGTAATACAGAAGTCCAGAGACACCTTAAAGAGTAACAACACTAACAAGGGCTTGTGAATCGTTGCTCCGACGAAAATTATTCTTCAGATAAGAATTATTGACTTGCAACAGATATTGAAATTAAAGTCCAGTAGCATGTTTAAGACCAATGAAGTATTATTCAAGGTATAAGCTTTTGTTTGCATGCACACTTCTTCAGATACAGTATCAGTATCTGAAGAAGTGTGCATGCACATGAAAGCTCATACCTTGAATAAAACTTTGTAGGTCTTAAAGGTGCCACTGGACCAAACTTTGTTCTGCTGCTTCAGACCAACACAGCTACTCCACCTGAAATTAATGCCATTGGACTTTGCTTTGTTTTGCTACAACAGACTAACATGGCTGCCCCTTCACAATTCCTCTGCATAGGCGTCACTATCCAAATGACAGGCTAGAACAGTGGTCTCCAACTTTTTTGAGCTCAAGGGCACCTATGGGATTCTGACACAGGGTGGTGGGTGCAACCACAAAATGGTTGCCGGAGAAGGCAGAGCCCCCCACACACACACATGCAGGAGAGGGGTAATTTTAAAAATACACTCCAATGGCCAATCAGAAGCTATGCTGGGAAACAGCCTCACCTAGCCCCACCTATTTTCTGAAAACACTTGGTAGCATATGCCAGGAAAGGTGTCAGCGGCTGCCATTGCACCCATGGAAGCTCCATTGGTGACCTCTGGGCTGGATATAATAAAGGGTGGTAGGTAAATAGATGGGAAGGCTTATGGAACAAAAACTGCTAAACCTCAACAAGAAGTTAATCTTGCAAACTGTGTATAATCAAAGAACCTTCTCATGCAGCCATCTACATGGAGGCAGAAATGAATTCCTGGTATGAAAGGCTAGCAGACTGAAAGAAGGATGTGATCCACACCAACCAGCTGAACTGCACTGAATACTTGGATGTAAGCCAGTTTAATTTCACTCCAAAGTAACTAGTTTGTACCTTTGGCATTACATGCAGGCCTGACTTGATGGACATCTCACACATGGCTGCTGTACTCTTAAATTATTGGTTTCCAGTTGGTTACCAATATGTTCCTGCTAAGCTGTGGAGTCTTATGAGCAAATATTCAACTTTATGAGCTACTGGCATTAAAGTTATGAGTGAGCAATTTGGCTGCTGCATAAATTACTTTGCTCTGGAGCCATCCTTCCTGAGCTAAAACAAAAATGTGTGAGCTGGAGGCTAAAAATCTGTGAGCTAGCTCACACTAACTCAGCTTAGAGGGAACACTGTTTACCATGCACTATGGTCATTGTGCAAACCTCAGTATATGGTGACTTTCCTCAAGTTTTTAAGCGCACATATTGACTCAAACCTAAGGCTCTCCACCTGCTAAGCTAGACATATCCTAAATCCTTACTTAGTACAGTTGCGTCTTTCACGAAGGCCACGTCTCCAACGCCATCTATCAGACATCTAGAATAAGGAAAGGAGAAAGAAATATTACAATTATTTTTTTATATTCTCTACCAATCGTGCCCAATACATGCTTACTCTTTAATGTTGCTCAGCGCCAACATTGCAGAATCAAAGAAGTATAAGGGCTCAGCTCTGCCCAGAGGACTTACGAATTCTATTACACATGCAAGACATGGATGAATAAAGGCTGGCAAATTAGTAGTGGGGATTCTGAGAAATGAATGAGGCTAGGATATTCAGGAAAGACATATCTGAGGGGGGGGGGGGGTTCAGTGAGTTATCTAAAGGGGAAGCAGAGAAACAAGATGTTTCAATGTTTCAGCACAGGCATCAAAACTAACACTTATGTGAAAGATAATCTTGCCACAGCCCACTGGTAGAACGTTACACCACCATACAGAAATGGCTGACCAGTTTCTTGCTGCTCATATTAATCGCAGTGGAGTATTTTTTTTCCCCCTTTTAGAATGAAATCTTAGTAAAACTGTAAAAAACTGAAATCATAAAAGTACTGCCTGCAGTAATAGCCTAATCCCACATGGAAAATCAAGGACTTTACACACAACATTACCCCTTTTGTGCACTAAATATAAACTTATGATTTGCACAGCTGCTAAGGCTGCACTTCTGTTTTGTGGGTATTAAAATATGCCCTTTCCATTGTGCATGGGCACATGCATACACACACACACTCACACAGGGTCATTGCTCTGGAAGAGCTATAAACCAGTAGTAGAGTACAAGGCATTGCACATACAAAACCCCAGGTTCAGTCAGGTAACACAAGTTAGGAAAGATTTTCCATTGCCTGCAGGGCCAGCCCATCCACTAGGCAAACCCTGGTGACTGCCTGAGCCACCAAAGCTGAAGGGGGTGGCAAAAGAATTACAGAGCCATAGGCAGCCCCTGGGGTCCAGGATGCAGGACAGAAAGGGAGCCAAACCAGCATTCCTCCTATGCATGTCTACCATGCCTACTCAGAAGTAATTCCTACTGTGTTCAATGTTATTTACTCCCAGGTAAGCATGCCTAGGATTGCGGTTCTTGGAATGAGCCAGCTGATGTTTCAGGTACGTATGCTGAATGGGAGGAGGCCCAAGTCACGGCTCGCCCAGAGTGCCAAAAACCCTTGGGCTGACCCTGGCTGCCTGAGACCCTGAAGAGCTGCTGTTGGTCAGAGGAGATAATAATACTGAGCCAAATGAGTCCATCACCCCAAGGGAAGGGAACTCAAAGAGAATATATAGAGGTTGCAAAACCTGAATGCCAGTACTAAGAAGCAGCATCAGGGGAAGGCCTTAGCCTCTAGGCCTTGTCTGCTTGGCCCTCCAGGACACCTGCCTGGCTACTGGGTGACAACAGCATTAGGATAGGATAGACAACAAAAATTAGGATAGATGGACCACTGTTCTGACCCAGCAGGATTCTTCTTATGTTAACAGCTCACCTCATTATCAGGCAGCTTCATGCGTGATTGCAGCATATGTGGTTCAGCAAGTGTTACAGACTCCTGCTGATTGTCGCTTATGACCAGCAATGTTGCCACCCACGCCTGCAGTTAGGCTCTTGACCAACTATAGGCTGGATTTTAATCTTCCTTTCTGGGAAAAGTGACTGAATGGCTGGGGGCAAAGCATCTCCAGGCTTTCCTGGGTGATACATTTGTCTTCAATTTGTTTCAGTATGGCTTCAGTCCTGGCTATAGGATGGAGAGAACTTTGGTTGCTCATGTAGACAATAATTGCTTAGAGACAGATAAAAAGGGTGTTTCCCTTTTGACTTCCTTCAGCACAAATGGCCAGTTGGAGCTATTACAGTGTGTGGAAACCAGAGCAGGGATTAGAGGAATGGCATTCAGATGGTAAACATCCTTTCTTCTGGGACAAACATAAAAGGCTGTCATTGCAAACAAAGAATCTATTGCTTGGGATTTATCCAGCAGAGTTTCTTATCATTGCTTGTGTTATTGAATATTTATGCAAGGCTTTTGACTGAAATAATTTAAACTTTGGAGTGGATAGTCATCAATATGCTGCTGACACCCAGCTCTTTGAATAAGCCTCCAGAAGCTGCTGTTTCTGTCCTAGGCCACTGCCTAGAAGCCAGAGCCAAGTGGCTGAGAGATAACAGGCTGAAGCTGAAACTGGACAAGATGGAGGTGATGTTTGTTGGCTCTGCTGATATGGATTGGGAACTGTGCTGTCTGTTTTGGATGGGGCAAGTCTTTCTTTGATAGACCTAGTTAAACTCTTGACAGTTATGTTGTATCCAGCCATTCTATTGGGAAAATGAGTTAACCACACAGCCAAAAATGTAATCTTTCCTTTTGGATTCAGCTAATCAGGGCACACTGATCATGCTGTACTAATTTCAAGACTAGACTATTGTAATGTGCTCTTCATGGGGTTGCCACTGAAAACCACTTGGAAAGCTACCATTAGTTCAGAATGTAGCACATTTATACAAGAAAGCTGGTCACTTTGTTTATACTATGCCTATTTTGGAAACCTTCCATTGGTTGTATGTTTATTTCTAGGTCCAAATCAAGGTGCTAGTTCCTACCTTGTTCTTCACAACTCAGGACCGTCAGACCTGAAGGATGGTCTTTACCTGTATGAACTTGTGCTAATGTTCCACTCTTCCCAACAAGGGCTTTTACCTTTTCCTTCCTGTTGACTTGTTAGATCTGCCTCTGCCCATTCTAATCTCACTGTAGCTGTCCCTGCACTTTGGCATTGCTTGCTGGAGGTAGTTAGGAAGGCACCAACTCTATTGGCTTTGAGAACAAGTTGCAACACCAAACTGCTCAGAAGGGCTTTTAAGTATCATTGAAATATATTGAGGCTGGTTTCATTACTGCTGTATATTTTTTAAAAAAATAAATATTCCTTTAATATATTTTATGGTTTATCTGATTGATTTATTCTTTTTTTAAAATGTGTAGTGACACTTCTAACCTTTGAAGGCCAACCGAGACCTTCTTTGAGGAGAAATGTGGAGAAGAATTCTGTTAGATAATTTTTTTCAAAAATCAAAATCCCAAACAGCATTATGCATTTCAAAGTCCATTGAAGTCAATGGGTTTAGAAGGATATAGCTGCTTAGTGGAAAAGAACAAGAGTCCAGTAGCTCCTTAAAGATGAATAAAATGTGCAGCAAGGTATGAGTTTTCATAAATCACTGCTCACTTCTTCAGATACCTTGATATAACTGCTTAGGATTGTGCTATAAGGTTATTACTGTTCCACAGTGATGGCCTGACATGTTGGAAATGTTTTGTTTTGTTTACTCTTAGGAGAATGCATGGGCTCCTTCTGCACTAACATTTACATCTACCCAGACTTTTAAAAAAAGAGGCAAACAGCAGCATGTTCTAAAAGTGGCAGCCACATGCCCGATCAGGACATGTTTCCCATACCACTGAAAGCATGACATTCTTTTCATGACAGTAATGGGAATAAGCAAGTTGGGATCCAAGACTACAGAAGCCTTGCCATAGCATCAGTCTTACGTTCATAGACATTTTTATACCACTTCATTTTACTTACAAAATACCTAACATTGTTAAAACTTTATTTTAAAAAAACTGTACAAAAGAACCTACTACTCACTGTAAAGCTCCAGCATAGCCAGCGTAGGGATCAGAGGCGAGACAGTCTGGCTTTTTACATAAATGGCACAGAGATTGCTGCTCGGTTTGAGCCCCAGGGACACAGCTGAAAGAGAAAAACTCAGCTACCGCTGCAAAGGAAACACATACAGGTGAGTCACTGGCAGGACCTCTTTTAAACTGCATTCTCATATTAGTTATTGGGACTGGCTCAGCCACCAAGTCTCCCATTTTTAGAGCTGGCATTTCAGTAGGAAGCAGATTCTGTAATAAATGTTATCCCCAGGATTCTCTAGGTCACAGAACATGCCATGGCATAAGTATCAGATCATATGCAGCTCCATTGAAGGCAGGTGCATGCAAGTTAAACAGTCTCTGTGAAATTGCAAGTAATCCAGATGCACTTCTTAGATCATGCTTTGTAGCCATGGGTTATCCCCAGTTTTTATTTGAACAATGAATAACAATAATATTGAGATTTTATGTAATGCTTTCAGTGTTCAGAGAGTTGCAGTCCTTACAAAAGTCCTTTATAGTCCACCTTTCGCACTGAGATTCAAGGTGCAATCAGCCAGAGACCTCCCATGACACATACCATTATCTTAGCTGCTATGCTATACCATCCCAGGGGGCACTGTTCTGCTTCAGGGTGAATGCCTGCCATGTGCCCTCCACTAAAGGGAGAGTACCAACCTATCTGTACCCATCATTTTCTCATTCCACTTTTGCATCTGATGTATAAAACTTGCATCTCATGCACACACAAAGAACCCAGTTTTTCAGGGTGTTGTAGCATGTTTTGTCTCTTGTGTTACTGCAGATGAACTTGGCTACTCTTCTGGAATTTTTCTGAAGGCCTTATGACTGTGACCCTGACACCTCTTGCACTCTCCACTGCTATATTCACTATGCTTCTTCTTACCTCTCTCTATAGGCTCTATTTCTGCTCCAGCCCAATTTGTACAATTTTTTTCCAGCAGTCTTCCTACTGGTATGTTCCATCCAGCTGATCTGCCAATGCCAGTGTGGCAAGATTTCTTCCCTCTGAGATCACAAAGTGAAGAGAAATGTGTTCCTTTCTTCACAACAGCCACAGCATAGTAACGGGTAGCACATTCTGAAGGAGAGAGAGAAATATAGAAATGGTTGACAACAAAGAGCTCTCCAAAGCTGCATCAAATGATAGATTTTAATTTGGTCAGTAAAGGGTTAACCAACTCAGCCTTTTTACAGATTCCCCACTTCTATTCTGTATAAGGAATATTTGGACAGAAAGTGCTTGCTCATTACCCATTCCTGCCAAAATCTGCCATCTGAGGCAACTGCTACAACTGACCTCATGACAGAGCCGGCCCTCCTTGCATCCCTTAAATCCTAGTTTCAGATCACGGCTTACTCCATGTATAAGGCTCAACAAGATCCCCGGTTCAATCCCCAGCTAAAAATATCTCAACACGTCCGGCAAAAAGAGCAGCTACTAGTGTGCAAAACTAGACAATTGCTGTTTGGGTTTTCCCCCCACAAATTCTCAGAGCAGTTCCTCTTCAAAGTTACCTTTTCCATATACCTCCGCTGCAATAGGGTTCAGATTATAAGGGGCCAAGCCTGCCTCATAAACAAGGCCACCATCTAGGGTGATAGCATCTGCTTCAGAGTTCTGAAAACAGGAAAGGAATAGTAAACTGAGAGCATAGAAATCCCTTCCCCACTTTTCAGCCATAAAAGCAACATGAAGAAGAACTAGGAAAAACAGCTCCCTCCATTACCCACCCCAGTCTCTACTGGAACCAGTGATCAATACAAGAGCACATCCTAGCAGTGCCAGAATGGAGCAACAAAACTATATCCGGATGTGTGTTAGTTCCAAATGAATGAAAATTGAGGTTGTTTCCACACTTGGCCAATTATCTGCATAGCTCCCACTGTTGCTGGGAATGCAGAGGCCTTTGGAGCAGCAAGAGGGCATCCATACAGTAGTTCCCCTGCACTTTCCTTGGCTCAGCTGTCTGTGATCACTATTTCGCATCACCACCACAGGTGGGCTTTCCCCCAGACTTTTAAAAAAATCAAAAATAGCTAAATCACTATGGTATTACAATGTCACAATGATCTATTGCAACAATGTACCAGTTACCTATTCACATAAAATTTCATTGCAGAGATATAAAGGGAATTTGCAATCTGCACTTTCCCCCTTATAACTAGGCAGCCAAAAGGGTTAGAGGCATACTTTTAAGTGTCAAGTGTTCGTTCTGATTTTTTAAAAGAGCCTGGAAAGGCCTTTTAAGGGGATAAAAATGGTAGGCACAGGGACTGAGGGAAGGGAAATTGTGCCGATATAAAGGACTTGCAGTAAGACACATCTTTCCATTCATGTGGCATCCAAAGGTGCTTTGACTGCAGTCTTTTTTGACAGATCGTACCAAGACAGGTTTGGGAAAGATTGTATAAAATTGTAGAAAAGCCAGGGGAAATACGAGATGACATCATGTGGATGCTTCCCAAATCAGTGCTGCAGTAAGGAAGTCCACGCAGGGCAGAACATCCATGTGGAAAGAGCCCATATGAAAAGCTGCATTAATTATACATTGATTAGAACAAGAGATTGGATTTATACCTCACCCTTCACTACCCAAAGGAGTTTCAGAGCAGCTTACAATCTTCTTTCCCTTCCCCTCCCCACAACTGACACCCTGTGAGGTAGGTGAGGATGAGAGAGCTCTCTCGAGAACTGCTCTTGAGAGAACACTTCTCAGAGAACTGCAACTAAACCAAGGTCACCCAGCTGGCTGCATGTGGAGGAGTCTCCCAATTCCCCCAGATTAGAGCCCATGCTCATAGAGTATGAACATTTATACATATAAAAATGAAAATAACAAAGGGCAATGAATGAATAAACGTTATTTGCTTAATTAATTTTCCAGACATCTGATGGACTGGTTAAGTAGTAGTGGCTCCCCAGCACTGATTCAGTTTGGGAAAATAGTGCAGGGGGGAGGCATAAGCACCATCTTCCCAACATGCTAGCACCCATGCTTAAGTCAGGACCTCATATGCCTGGAAAGCACAGAACACCAAGACTATATCCATCAACTAGACATGGGAACATTCCTGGGGAAAGAATACTGTGTCATAGAAAAGCAGTACAGAGTTCCAAAAAGCAGTGAATTTCAAAGGTGGCATAACAAAGACCTTTCCCTATTGATTCCACTCTTGGGCCTAGCAGGGTTTGCCCATAACCCACCAGAGGCTGCCCAGGTTGCCTCTGGCTCCACCATGACCAGCCAGATTCTTTCTGTGTCTGTCCGAATTTCATCCTGTAGACAATGCTGGCTCGACCCCCTGGAACCACCCAGGCACTGGTCTTTTCAGAATCAGTGGTAGACCAAGCCATCAGTGAAGACTTAACTAGTCCTGCACACTGAATTCAGGAAAGTTCCCCACCATTCAATTTCCACTGATCACTTACTGCAATGGCTTCTATGCAGTCATGGAAACTAGTCTTCCTGACACACGTCATTGCATCCCCTCCCAAACACGTTTGCAGTTCCTCACATTTTGTTTGCTCAGGGTTGGATATTGTGCACCACCTTACAGAGCATGTTGCGAGACACAGCGCTGTGGAGAAAATGAAGGCAGGAGTAGCAATGTTATACCATGGACCTTAAACAATGAGAACACCACCTACCTGGACACACAGACCCTGAACAGGATTAGCTTCCCACCCCTGCCATTGCCCAATAACAAGGCCGAAAGACCTGGTCAGCCATTTTGTGCTATTAGAGGAACAAAAAGGAGCAAGTTGTAGTTGTCACAGTTTATCCTTACTGGTTCATTGGTCTTAAGTGATTCTTTGGACCTAACAGGTATGAATATTTGGACTGAAATAAAAAGCCATACGACATTAACCACAAATGAGGTCTGTCACCATTTTTATTTATTTATTTAACACACATTGTGCTGCCTTTCCACCTGGTTCAGGATCCCCAAGATGCTGAACAATCAAAACATCAAAAAGAATGTTAAAACAGAGATATATAGAACAATGAAAAACAGACGACGGTTCTAGCACTTTATGATAATTATATAATTGGATTGTTTTATGACTGATTGGTTTTAAGTGTTGTTTTATGTGTTGAGTTTTCTATGTCAGTTGCCCTGAGCCTGCTCCAGCAGGGGAGGGTGGGGTACAAATTGAATGAATGAATGAATGAATTCATTAAGACACAAACAGAACAGCTCTGGGCTGCACTGTTATTAATAACCCATTTTGCTACGGTTTTCTTGTTGTAAATAGAGCTGGATAAGCACTCAGATGCTGACTTGGCACCACCTGGATGCACATCGTTCACAGCCAGCAAGATTGTAAAAAACAACATTTAAAGTAAAGGGTCCCTGTATATTTCCACCCCACCCCTGTGGGCAGAGGGTAATGTGCATCAAGGAAATGGTGCAAAGGATGAAAGTTATGCTGCTGCCACAAATGATATCACATGGAATAGCCGCTAAGTGTCCATGGCACTTGGGCAACCACACACACACACCCCATAATCACAGCCATGAACATTCTTTTGCCAAAGAGAACTGCATTTCCCCAAAGAAGACAACTGAGAGAAATATGTACCAAATAATGGGTAATAACTGTGCAAATGCTGTGCTAAAAACAGGCCCTTAACAGACTGTAAGCTGGAGAGGCAACTGCATTATCTAGGAATACCTGCTAGGACAAATTGCTGGGAATATAAATTTCAGTTCCTCAGATTGTTACACAGCTGGATTACTTTGCACAATTCCAACCAAGATTTATGGCAAAACTGGGTGGAACAGGAAAGTACTGTCTGGTCACAAAAATGACTACAAAGACTAGATCCCAACATTTCAGCCATCACTATATATCTAAATAATCAGGTACATATTTTTGAATTTGGGTTATCTTTTCAGATTAGATCTTTCTCCTTGGGTCATTCATTCTGCTTCCAGCCAATCTTTCTTCCATGAAATTCAAGGTGGGCCTGCATGGCATCCTCAGGGAACCCCCCCCCCCATGCAGACACTGACCAGACCCACACCTGCTGAGCTTCTGCAAGGCTGCTGCATCACATGCCTTCTCCACACCTTGTCTACTAAAACTCCATGCTTCCACTGGAAAACACAGTGCGGTAGGGGGTCTTACATATATGGGTTCCCACAACAGAGAAAAGCTGCCCCCATTTATATGTATCTATTACTATTGCGTATATCTCATATTTCAGACAATGTTTTACTGTTTAGGGTCTTTGCTCATGCCCTTTTCAGCCCATCATGGTAACTGGAGCTTTTATTTAGTCTGTGATGACTACCAGTTCTTTTACCATAACCAAAGCCAGTTATATGACCCCTAGATGCCACATATAGCCAGCATAATACTGACTTTTGACACTCACTGTAATAATTAAGGGAACTTCAACAAATTCACAACTTGCCATGATATAACACCCACAGTGATAGGGTTGCAAACCTCCAGGTCATGGCTAGAGATCTTCTGGGATTATAAGTGATCTCCTGGCATCAGAGATCAGTTCACCTGGAGAAAATGACCTCTTTGGAAAGTCACCTGCATGGCATTGTAGCCCCTGAAGTCCCTTCCCCCCCCAGACATCACCCTCTACAGGCTCCACCCCCAGAATCTCCAAGTCTTTCCCAGTTTGGAGCTGGCAATCCTGCACAGCACAATCAGGTGCACAGTTATACCCTCTCAGTTCACTGAAGTCAGTGGGCTAAGAATGGAAGGGGGGGATTCTGTTTAGGATTCCACCATCAGTCACAAAAGTGCAAAAACAGTTGTCATAAACAAAGGGGGACACCCTAATGTATTTTGGTACTTGGAATGGAAAATCCAGATGGCACTCCCATAAACACAAACATTCACCAATTAAATGTAACCTGAACAAGAGCACTGTGATCTTGTACAAATGCAATCCATTTTAGTGGAGCTTGAGAACAGATGGGTCTGTCCCTAGTGCTGTTAACGCACCCTAAAGTGTACCGTCAGGGATGACTTTGTGATCAAGTATCAAGCTGTTCCATGCTTGCCGCACAAGACTTCAGCGCGCGCACATCCAGCTCAGCCTGAAAGTCATCTAAAAAACGCATCTTCTACAGGCTGAATGAGCCATGTGAATGGCCCTTAGATTACAAGGAAAGCAGTAGCTTAAAGCAAACTGTGCAAATATAAGGGTTTCATCTGAAATTCCTCAATATTTCTATATCTGAGGGAAGTCATGATTCTGGCTCATTGTGTTTGCTGTTTCCAAGACACAAGTCCTGGCATTCAAAGAGAATAAGAGCTAGAACAACAGAGATTCACTTAGAGCAAAATATTTTCCTCATAGTGCTGAAGCAGAAGCTGGGGCAGAGGCTGCAGGGGATTGTTGGCAAACCGTTTCGATCTCTGTTGTGGAAACTGCCGGGGGTGTATTTTCAGGGTCAAATTAACAGATGCAACAAGGGTTAGCCAGCCCACCTCTCACCGCCAGTGCTCTACTATAAATGCCTTTCACCCTGCATGTGTTTTACTATGGCAAAGATCTGGGAACATGTATGTGCCACACCAATTCTCCCTGGTTAAAGAGCATGACAGCATAGTTGTCCTTTGTGGACTCCAGAGCTGCCTGCAGCAAATACTCATGCAGCCCATATCTTGCTATTCACTGCATTTAGTGCATCTTTAAGCATATAACTAAGTACCATTTTAAGCTCAGAGAAAGAGACCTGGGTCAGCATTTGTTTAAATGCATGCTTCTTTATCAGGACTCCAATAAGCACACACTTAAAAGGCAACAGACTTTTGGGATCAAGTCAACTGAGGTGGCAATTGCTGTGATGCTATTTAAAAAGCAAACCTTTAAAAGATGCAAACCTACAATTCTTTCCAGAGACTATTGGGTTGAGTAGTCTCCGGAAAGAATTGTAGGTTTGCATCTTTTAAAGGTTTGCTTCCAGTGGCTCTATCTTTCCCTTTTGTTACTTAAAAAGGAATGCTGGAAGTATTTATAGGACTATTTTACAGATTTGCCTTTCTATGACCATTGGAAAAGTTTATTCTCCGAGTCTGTTTTGCAAATTCCTTTGACTGACTACTTCAAACTTGCCAGTCTGAAGTCACTTACCCAGCAGCCCAATCGTGGTTTGGAAGACAAGTTTCATCTTTTTCTCCTCAGGCTTTCACACAGGTGTTGTAGAGATGTCTGTCACAGAGTGCTCCCCAGTGTCTGTGACAGCTTTTGACTCAACAACTGTGCCTTTTTATAGACAGTGGACTGTGCAGTGTTAGCAGAAGCAGTGACCCAACAGTGTTTGTCCTTCCTTGTTTCCCAATAGCTCCTGGCTCAATCCCTCCCTTCTGGCCAGCCTATTTACGAGAAGAATTTCATTTTGGCTCCAAATTCGCAAAGCTCTGCTAGCTGGCATGAGTGAGAAGAGCCAAAAAGTGTTTGTGAGGCTCAAATGGGAAATCCCCCATCGTTTAAGTTTCTTCTTTACCTGAAATGTAGTCAAACAGGCAGGAAAATGTCCTCGTTTATTCTTTCATCCTCATCCTCATAAAGACAAAATATAGAAAATTATCTTAGAGCTGGCTCTGAATTTAGGCTGTTTGAATAACAAACCAACTCCATTAAAATCAACATAATGTCTGCTATGGATTTCTGTACAAAATGAACCTATACATTTATTATCACTACTGCCTTATACTGAGGATTATATTAAGCAACCAGGAAGTTGTACAGGCAGCAACAAAAGGAGGCAACGAATCTGAGGAGCAACTGAAGATGATGTTTCTGTAGCAATCTGCCCAGCTCACCTGGATGGACTAAGGCCTGAGGGAAAGTTCAGCAAGGTTTAGAAGAAAACAGAGACCAGAAGAATAATCCACCATGTCTCAAGCAACCAAGCCACAAATATAAACAGAATGAGTTAAATATTTAGGCTAAAGTTATAATATATTGTTCCTCTATGCTATGGGTATTAATTATCCAAAAATTGATAAGCTGTTAAAATAAGCTCTTGTACAGCCAACAAGAGAGTTCTGAGTTTCAGAAGTCCCTCTCTAAAATCAGGGGAATGATTTGCGGAATTGACCACCTGCTTCAGTATAGCAGCTGATGGAGATTCCCTCTTTATGAATACGACCTAAAGGGATGTGCACATTATGGATGGACAATTGTACACACATGAGCCCTGTTTACCTGGTATTTCATTGCTTTATTTTATTAGATTTATATGCCGCTCCATTCCTTGCCAAGCAGGGCTCAACTGAAGAGGAAGAGTTGCATGAACCAAGAGTCACATGAACCAATCCAAACCTGAGGTAGAGTTGTATGAACCACTCCTAAGCACATTAAGCACCTATTTGACAGATTGCTTCACTCACATAGGAAGGAATTCCTGCTCTTCCACTATATAAGTAAGATTTCTGGTCAGGTGAGTACTTGGATCAAACAATTTCTTTCTGGCTGCAGGAGAAGAATCATGTCAAAGGGTTTCATTCCACTATCATGAGCACAAAATAGGGATAAGAATACTGGTGTATGAATAGCTAGTTCCGAGTCCAGTAGCACCTTAGAGACTAACAAGATTTTCAGGGTTTGAGCCTTTGAGAGTCAAGGCTCCCTTTGATCATAATAGGGCTAGCAGTAACATGCAACAGCAGCAGAGAATTTTCCACAAAGTAACTCCATTGAGTTTTTACCCTCATTAGAAAGGAAAACATGTGGCCAGCTTTAGAGAGCCAGTCTGGTGTAATGGTTAGGAGAGCGGACTCTAATCTGGGAGAACCGGGTTTGATTCCCCTCTTATCCAAGGTCCTGGTGTGACCTTGGGACAGTCATAAGTTTTTTCAGAGCTGTTCTCTCCAGGGCAGTTCTCAAGAGAGCTCTCTCAGCCCCACCTACCTCACAAGTTGTCTGTTGTGGAGAGGGGAAGGGAAAAAGATTGTAAGCTGCTCTGAGACTCCTTCAGGTAGTGAAGGGCAAGGTATAAATCCAATCTCTTCTTCTTCTTTAGCCCTTTTACAACTCAAGAGGAATAGGTCAAATCCAGCCACTCTAGACTGGCCCTCTCTTCTCCTAAGTACCTGTGTCTTCAGTAGAGTGTTACTCTGTCCCACACACCTTTTGGCCTTCTCCTCCAGTACTATCAGGAAAGCATCACCAAAATGGCACATTAAATATGAGCTTTCAAACACAATCACTTTACAGCAGCACCATGTTGGACAGAGTGGCCATACTCTGAGTGGTCCTACCCTGAAGCAACCAGCAAAATACAATGAGTATGACTGGTGCCATCTTGGAAATGCTTCCACTGTAATTCAAGCCAGAAAGGTTAAGGCCTTGAGCCAATGAATTTTGAGGGGGAAGTGGTCCAAAATTTGCCTCCAAGGCAGTGTCTTCAGCTTGCCTCATGATCAGGCTGGCATGGACCTAACTGATATGTAGCCTAAGGAGAGGCTCATCCTCTATAGTTTTTAAAATGTTACTCATGACTGCTCTCAGTAGCAGCATGTGAAAAAAGTACTGGTACAAAAGATATATGGCTTTTGCTGGGACTCATTGCCAACTATGTGATGGGACATCTAGCCAGGGCACAGAAAGCTGCCATTATTTTTACTGTTTCATCAGATGCCAATGTTAGCTGTATGAGACTTGCATATAGAAGAGGGGGACTTCTTTTTCTCAGTCAGGCTAAGGGTGTTGTAGCAGATCAAGCAATAGAGGCCATGATTCTTGAAAAAGGAGGAGGTGTGGATCAAATAAATACAGGAAATATGTGGATTAGTTGCATTCCACCTTGACCACTGCAAAACTAAAAGATGTTTATCACATGCTAGATGAATAAGACAGTTGTGGGAAGACATTCCTTTGCAGAAACAGTGGAAGGTTGGTTATGTGCAATTTCTGTCAAAATGGGAAAACCCTAATCCACCCAAACAGGTGACTGAGAGTCATCCCTTACAGTAGAGATGAACAGAGAGTACAATGTGTGATTGTGACTAAGTGACTTTGCCACATAGTTTTGGATATGTTTTAGAGGTTTTTAATACATACATTAGCTTTTTACTAATTCATCACAGCCACCCTGAGTCCCCTGTGGAGAGAGGGTATCAGGTAGAAATCAAATAAATAGATAAACATGTCTATTTAGAAGAAATACTAAGTTTTGTTAATTTAAATTGTAATGTAGAAGTCTATTGGTTAGAAAAGAACCTGTATATGATTAGTGAAATGGGTAGCCCTGCAGCCAGTTAGGGAGACCCTTTTAGAATCTTGTGAGGAAGGAGTTAAAGAACAACTGTTGGAGAGTGACAGCTATCCTTACTTCAGCAGTTCTTAGCTGTCACTCTCCAACAGTTGTTCTTTAACTCCTTCCTCACAAGATTCTAAAAGGGTCTCCCTAACTGGCTGCAGGGCTACCCATTTCACTAATCATATACAGGTTCATCCTAAGCAGATTGACCCATTGATTTCAGTGGCACCCTTAAGAGCAACAAAGGTTTATTCACAGTATAAACCTTTGTGTGCACTCACGCTTCTTGAGATACATTGAAATGGAAGTTACCAGTCCATACATATGGGTAGAGGGTGCCATGAGTCACAGGCTGCACTAACCAGGCTAACTATTATTGTATGCTATGAGTTCATTTTATTGCAAACTTTGAGAAAAAGTGGAAATTTACATGTTTTTTCAAGCAACATCCGGTTTCCAGTAATGTGTAATTTCTTGCCCCAGAGAGGAACATTTTGATGTCCAAATCAGAAGAAGTTTTTTTAAAAAGATCAAAACATATTTCTCCACCTCTGAGTGCAATAGTTTGCCCTGACCTGCCCAGTCTAGCTTCATCTCCTCAGATCTCAAAAACTAAGCAGGATCAGCCCTGGTTAGTACTTGGATGGGATACCAGGAAGGAAATCCATACAGGCAACTGGCAAACCACCTCTGTTTGTTTCTTGCCTTGACAACCCGACAGGTTCGCCATAAGTCAGGTGCAACTTGACACCACTTTACACCACTATGTGAAATAGTTTACCAATGTGTCCCACAATTTGTGAAGAAACTGAAAAAAAGTAATGTTTGTAGCAAAACTGAAGTGGTTTATTAGTAACAGTGCAATCTTAAGCAAAGTTACACCCTTCCAAATCCACTGATGCCAATGGACTTAGAAGGGTGGAATTCTGTTTAGGATTACATTGTAAAGCTTATGTTATTGATGTGAACAGTATGGAGGCGATCCATATGAATTAACCCATGCAAAGGACTGAGATGTTGTTCAGTATAGCTACTAGTCTCTACAGGTAAGAATATAACAAATGCCATACTGGATCATATTAAAGGTACGTGTAGTCCAGCATCTTGTTTCAAACAGAACACAACCAGATACTTTTGGAAAGCTCACAAGGAGGACATGAAGGCAATATCCCCACAGTGAAATTCAGAGTTACCACCTGCCTCTAAAATATAGAAAACCTATTTTAATTATTACGGCTTATAGCTATTGATAGGCCTATCCTTCACGAATTTGACCTCAGCCCCAGTCCTGCCACCAGTTGCCAGGTTCAGCCTAGCAACCCTACTCAAACCCTTCGTCATTTTGGTTGCCCTTCTTTGCCGTTTTTCAGCTCTGTAAATGTCTTTTCTCAGATATGGCAACCAGAACTGCACACAGCATTCCAAATGACACTGCAGCATAGTGAGATAACTTTTTCTCAGGTAAAGGTAAATGTTTCCCTTGCTCGAAAGCCAGTTGAATCCAACTCTAGGGGGAGGTGCTCATCTCCGTTTCCAAGCTGAAGAGCCAGCATTGTCCAAAGACTTTTCCGTGGTCATGTGGCCGGCATGACTAAATGCCCAGGTGCACGGAATGCTATTACCTTCCCACCAAACTTTTTCTACTTCTCCCTAAATAGTGGAATTTGGGGGTTACCTGATGAAATTGACAGGCAGTAGATTCAGCATGGACAAATGAAAATGCTTCACTCAACAAGTAAATAAAATGTGGAATTTGTTGCCAAAGGATGTAATGATGGCCAAAGGCACAAATGGCTTTAAAAGGGGGTTAATAACAATTGATTGGAACAGTAATGAGATAATACGGAGAATAAGAAAAACTGTGAGAAAGTGATGCTTAATATATGTCTTTAAAGAATCATAGAAAAGTGAACAAAAATAATATACATAATCATAGAAAAATATATATTGACGGTGATCT